TCTGCCTGCAGCACAGACAGTCTCCCCATGGCTGATTAGGACTCCTGTGGCCATGTGATCGCTCAACAGAGCAGTCACGTGGTCACAATAGGTGTCCATGTGTCTGCCTGCAGGGGGACTGTCTGTGCTGACAGGCAGTCTCCCTGCATGTGTAAAATAAAAATAAAAATTAAAGTTAATGTTAATTTAAAAAAATTATATATGTGTATAAATATATGACATATAGACATATATTATATCTGTATAATATATGTCTATATATCATATATATAATATCATACTAAGTGTATTTTTATATTAATATGTACATATATTAATATAAAAATAAACTTATAATTAAATTACACACATATATATAATATATATAATAACTATATATATTGTATATATATATATATATATTATAAAATACAAATAATAAGTAATTTAAATTAAATTAAAAAATTGAAAAATGATAAAAAATATATCTATATGAAATTTTATTCTAACTGTATTTTGAAAATATATATATTTATATTAAAATACACTTAGAATGAAATTATATATATATCTATGTATATATAAATAAATAAAAATAATACGAAATATACATATGTACATATACAAAATTACATAAATAATTATATAAATATACACATAGACGTCAAATATATAAATATGCTTATATATTTAAATTCTACGTGCGTATTTATGTAATATTTTTACATAATTAAGTAATTTTATTGATTGCAATTTGAGGGACCTGCCTGCCAAACCAGGCCGAAAGTCCAGAGAATTTAATTTGCTAGCACTGTATTTTACCCTGTAACGTTCTACGACACCCTAGAACCTGTACATGGGGGGTAATGTTTTACTCAGGAGACTTTGTTGAACACACATATTAGTGATTCAAAACAGTAAAACATATCACAGCGATGATAGTCAGTGAAAGTGACTTTTTTTGCATTTTTCACAAACAAACAGCACTTTTACTGATGATATAATTGTTGTGATACGTTTTCCAGTTTTGAAACACTAATATTTGTGTTCAGCAAAGTGTCCTGAGTATAACAGTACCCCCCATGTACAGGTTTTATAGTATTTTTGAAAGTTACAGGGTCAAATATTTTTACATTGAAAATGGCCAGGTTGGTTACGTTGCCTTTGAGAGCGTATGGTAGCCCAGGAATGAGAATTACCGCATGATGGCATACCATTTGCAAAAGAAGACAACCCAAGGTATTGCAAATGGGGTATGTCCAGTCTTTTTTTAGTAACGACTTAGTCACAAACACTGGCCAAAATTAGCGTTCAATTTAGTTTTTTTACTTTTTTCACGCACAAACAAATATGAACGCTAACTTTGGCCAGTGTTTGCAACTAAGTGGCTACTAAAAAAGTCTGGACATACCCCACATTGAATACCCTGGGTTGTCTACTTTAAAAAAAATATGTACATGTGGGGTGTTATTCAGAGATTTATGGCAGATAATAGTGTTACAATGTCACTATTGATAAATTTAAAAAATGTATGTTTTGAAACCACAATATCCTACTTGTACTTATAGCCCTATAACTTGCAAAAAAATAGCAAAAAAGCTAAAGTAAACACTGGGTATTTTTAAACTCAGGACAAAATTTTTAATCTATTTAGCAGTTTTTTTCATTCGCTTTTGTAGATGAGTAAAAGATTTTTCATGTAAAAGTAAAAAAACATGTATTTTTTTAAATTTTTCATCATATTTTTTCTTTTTTTTAAATAAAATTACATGAAATTATATAAATAATGGTATGTAAAGAAAGCCTCTTTTGTCCTGAAAAAAACAATATATAATTTGTATGGGAACAGTAAATGAGAGAGCGGAAAATTACAGCTAAACACAAACACCACAAAAGTGTAAAAAGATGCCTGGTCGCAAATGTACAACATCGCAAAAACAGTCCGGTCCTTAAGGGGTTAAGGACTGAGCCAAATGTACATGTTGTGAGTAAAACAAAACGTAAACAAAACCTTGAATTTGCGCTATATATCTGTTCAGGCGTAATTCACCTCTTTCATATTATGTGCACCCACAGATATAAATAATTTTGTTCAGGAGAAACAGGGCTGTCATGTCACATCAAATATTTGTATATTAAAAGTAATTTAATATGAATAAAATATATATTTTTTTAAATTGAGAAATTAAGAAAAAATAATTATATTTGTTTTAGTTTTGCATGGCATTTTAACTGTGAATGTCACAATACTGTTAGCTGTTACTGCAATAAAGTACACATATTTGTATTCAGCGATGTCTTACGATTATAGCAGTATGGCACTGTGTTTCTAGCACAGCTAAACCTAAAATTTGAAATCCGATTTGAGTCCCCAAAAATGTACATGTAAGTAAATAACCCTACATATCATGATACATATTTTGTATACATGACAAGCAGGTGGTTACAGAATAGTATTCTTCTATAATATACAAAAAAGAGAATATGCAAATTCTCATTTCTATAAAGCATTTGATTCTATTGTACGCATGGAAAAAATTCAATGTCTATCCAGAGTTCTTTCAAACTAGCTTCTATTATTTGCAATTTAATTTTGCATGTCATTTTAATTAGTCTGAATAACCAACTTCCTTATTGAAAGCATTATAAACCGGAAAATATGAATTACTGTATTTAATTTACAATCTACAAAAAAAAAAAGATTGTTTTCCTATTTTTTAATTGTTTTAATATTTGTCTTAGTAAAAGGAAAATATGCATACTCAGCAGGTGTTGTACATATTTGCTATAGTTATTTATCGTTTAAGTAGAACCTCAATAATGCTCTATACAATTTATGCATCCATGTGTTAAGGTAATTAATATATTCAATCTTTGATGTATTTGTTACTGTTTCAGGATGATAAGAAACCCCCACCTCCAATACCAAAGAAACCTTCCAGGGGGAAATTCCCCATCACGCGAGAAAAATCTCTTGACCTGCCTGACCGACAGAGACAGGAAGCCAGGAGGCGACTAATGGCTGCAAAGAGAGCAGCATCATTCCGGCAAAATTCAGCTAGTGAGCGCGCAGACAGCATCGAAATCTATATACCTGAAGCTCAAACCCGGCTATAATTAAACAGTTCTCAAACACAACATGCTTGTACGGTTTGTAGCACACCTGGTCTTTTAATCTCAACCTCCCTACTGAATCCACCCTCGTTATTGTGCTCTATGTGCCATAAGCGCAGTGGAATGCTTTATTTTTCTTTTCTTTTTTAATTTCCTCAGAGTTTTCTAAACTCATTGCAAAAACAACTTATTTTGTAAACCATGCCTGACTTCAAATCAGCTACATGCATAGGGCTTGTTGAGACCTAACTTTTTCCAACATGTTCTCAGAGGACAACGTGAAAAACCTCTCAAGATGGAACCCAGCGTAAAATCTTGGTTATTTCTATTTTTATAAAAATAATGCGATCATTGGAAATAAGAATCTAAAACAAACATGAAAAAACTAAATGGGTACATCTCACCACTCACTAGAGGCATTAGTTATTCCAAGTAGAAGGTGCTACAAATTTGAAGTGCAGGAAAGGAAGAAAGTGTTGCTCTCTGACCTCCGTGTTCTTTAGTTTAAACTTAGCTGAAAAAGGTACCGTGGCTTCTCCTCTCTAGCACTGCTGACTTGCATTAGGCAATATCATCTCTACCCTCTCGATGTGGATCTCCAATCAGTAAATGTCCAAAGCATTTGGTTCCTCAAAACCAAAAGCCAATATGTGGTTTGGCCATCAATGGAATCCTATTGGCTGGACCACAACCCATTCTTTACCTTAGATGCTTGATCTCAATGCAAGATGACATGAAGAGGGGATATAGTCGATGGAGAAAAAGTGAATGCCTTAAAAAAAAAAAAAGATCTTTTGTTACCAGATATGTGGATTGAAAAGTATTCATCCTTCCGAGGACCGTTCATTTATGTTTACATTTTATTCTTTATTTATTTTTTAAGAGCCGATGATTTAAACGGTTTGCTATTTATGCTATCTACTCACACAGAAGCTATCGTTATTATGTTGACAGGGCATCCTTTAAAAAAAATTATGTATGTTTGCTGTTTAAAATGCCGGTTGTGATGTGATAACCAATTTAAAAAATCCTGAATATAAGTGGTAACTATGTCTCAGTTTAAATGTTTTTTTTAAAGGTAGGGTAATGGTGAAATGTGGTTTATGTTTGTATTTATTTCTTCAATTATTTTTTCTTAAACAGAATCTTTGCTTAGGCTTATATAGCACCCATCTATTATTTTAATGCACCATAAAAAACAGCGAGTTGAAGACACATGCACTTGAATAATGTAGAAAAAAGTAGCATATTCGTAATAAATCTCTAACTACCAATATGCAAAACCTCAAGAGGAACCATTTAACCTCAGAGTTAATATCTGCATTAAAATCCATGTGTTTTCTCTTGTGAACTATTTCCATAGCTAGTTAAAAGAAAGGGCTCATTTTACACCCCGGTTTTGCATCAGGGAAATACATCCCTGGAGTTATTTACCTCTTTTCAGCTACAGGGCTGGCACGTCTCCTCCAAAGTCTGAAGGTATTTCATTGTAAAGGCCCCAGGTTACTAAAATTGTCCCCACATTAAAACTAAATTTCTTAGGGATTTAAAGATATGTCTGCCTAGTTTATAAAAGGAACAATATGGGCATCATTATAACTTAAGCTTAATGGAGTAGTTTTGGTGTATAGATCATGCTCCTGAAGTCTCACTGCTCAGTTTTCTGTCATTTAGGAGCTAAATCACTTTTTGTTTTTGCTTATGCAGCCCTAGCCACACCTCCCCTGACTGTGACTCGTACAGCCTGCATTCAAAAAATGGTTTCATTTTCAGTCAAATGTTAAATTACTTTAGAAGACTATCTCTTGCTCTGTAAATTTAGCTTGGATCACACACAGGAGGCTCCTGTAGGCTCTAGTATCCAATTAACAGAGTAGGAGATGTGAAATTCTAAATGAAAAAGAATAAGGGAACTTAAGGAAACTTAAAATTAACCTAAAATATCTAGGGTTTTTTTTCAGGAAGTGTGTAGGAAGGCCGTGCAAATCACATAGGGGGAGGTGTGACTAGGGCTGTAAGCTGTATAAACAAAGTTATCTAACTACTAAATAGCAGCGAATTAAGCAGTCAGACTTCAAGGAAATAATCTATACACCAAAACTGCTTCATTAAGCTAAAATTGTATTGGTATCTATAGTATCCAATTAAACAGGACATGTATCTAAATAAACAGACATTAAAACATTGTGCTTATTAAATGCCAAAATCCTGAACAGAAATTATTAGTGGCTTCTTTAAATAGGCAGTCTTTTATTCAGGAACAAAATACAATAGCAGAATTTCGGCTCTTGCATGAGCCTTTGTCAAGCCTGACAAAAGCTAATTTAAGAGCAGAAACGTTACTATTGTATTTTTTCCTGAATAAAAGACTGTCTATTTGAAGAAACCAGTAGGTGTACCGGAATGTTTGTAAAATTGACTACATATTTTGATGGCAGTAACACAATTAGACAATATTAAAGAGGACATTTTAAAATCTTTTTCTCAGCCTTGTTAGAAATGACCATTTCATCCATTTGTATTCACCAAGTTACAAACATCATCATTGTACACGACACATAATAACCTCTGGGACACATGGAGGGCCACTTGAAGAATCTAAGGTATTCATTGAAGTGTAATCATTCTAACTTTCAAATAACCATTTTAGCAAGATTAAACTATCTTGGAATCCAGCACAAGTTTGTAATTGATCCTGTACTTCTGTAAATAGGTGTAATTAAACTAAATCGTGTTATATTACCAAGTACTTCCATTACATTGCAATTAATAGATGCAGTATGGTTTTACAACTACTTGTTGCAAAGAGCTGATAATTCAATAAAAATGCTAATGCTCAAGATATTAAAGATCCCATTTTATTAGGGCTATAGTCAGTCAACAGGTGGGCAAAAAAGTTGTTGATGCTAAGTACTTCCATGATAAGCAATTTCATTTGGTACGTGAATAAAGTGTTTCTCTTCCTCTAGCTCTCCCTCTCCCTCTCCCTCTCCTGAGAGGTATTTCCTTAAAACGTTCCCCACTCCTTATTGCATACAGCGGTAATCATTCCCTTGTTGCGAGTCTGTACACAAAGACTTTACCATTTGTTCACTACAAAGGCCAAAGTAAAAGGCTAGGTACATGAAAAGGATTCTCCAGAACGAAGGCCACTCATTCTTCCTAATAAATCATCCTTTAACTTTTTGCATACAATTAAGCTGTATGTTTTGGGTGCTGAGGTAGCAGACTTGTAAGTATCAATTAATTAAGAATCCCACCCATAAAATCTTGGCAAAACCCCAATAATTAAAAAAAAAAAAAATCCCCAAGTCCTTCTTTGATGTTATAGGATAGGCATTATTTACAAATTGTTTAATTGTAATTTTTTTAATTTGCAACTACCTGAACGATTTTCATAAAAACAATATGTGAAATAGCAAAATCAGTTCAACTTTTACAGGTAAATAAGGTCCTAGAGATAGTCCAAGTAAATATTTACCTGTGCAATTGTTGCTCAATATTGAGCACAAAGTCTTACAGCTGATCCAAGTATAAACTTGTTTTTTACAAGGAATATAATATAATTGATACATTAATCTAGATAAATTTGCCAACAAAGCTTGAATATCTGAAACTGAAATTTTAGCCCAGTGAGTGAGTGGATTATGTATATATCCTCTTATACCTTAATTCCAACTATTTAATTACATCTTCATTTTAGGATTAAGGTTAATGTAGAAATGACGTTAACATAATTTAAGTGTTAGTATCATCATTTCCATTATTGTAATTCTAATCCTAACTAATTGTAAATATTTAAATATGTTTACCCTTAACCTAGCCTCAACTCTCACTAATGACATATTTTGGCTTCCTAACGCTATCTGTAATTCAAAATGTAATGAACAGATTTACACAACTTTAATCAATCCTGACTCTAAGATTAACTTTAATATTTTACCATCATTTATGATCCCAAGCACCTTATAATTACTAATGCAATCTCTACTTCGCTAACACAATTTTTATACTCTTAAACTTGGCATCATTATCCCTCTAACCCTGATCACTAGGAAAAGAGTAATAGACATCAAAAGTCCACTATTAATTTTGAAACCTTAACATTGCAAAGATAGATAGCAATGATCTTAGATGTCAAGAGCATATATCTGCCTATAGTTAATGAAATAATCAGCTTTTTGTAACTGTATACTGTTGGAGACATGTTAGCATAAACCTTTTTTATGACATTTTTTGCATTGCCATCCTGTATTGCGGATTGGAAATAAGATATTACCCACTTGTGAAATCTATCAAATCAAACCAGAAAGATCTAAGCTGAAATGAGTGTTCTTTCGATTTACAATAGAATTATGGTGAGTAAAGGTTTTATTTAAAATATATATACATATATATTATGTAATGCATATTTTAGAGCCAAGACTTCCAGGGAGACTTTGACTGATATACTAAGTGAATTTTGGGAAAAGTAGGATGTCACTTCCATAAAATCCCCCACAGGTATTCTATAAAGTCTTATTTTCAATCTAATGATTTGGATCAGGAGAATGTCAAAATGTTCAAAGAAAAATCATTTCAACTTTCTATGGCTTAGTGTGTATATGTATATATAATTTTAATCCCTTCAATGCGTGACATATTACTCTATATAGCATTATTCTTTTGCAGATGAAAAAGTCCTAAATCTGTGTTTTATTTGGGAGAAGAAATATTCTGGTACCGGATTGGTTGCAGCGATAGTTCTGTGCTCTCCTGTTTCCATAATGGAATTTAGCAAAATATATGCCAACAATCTTGTGATACAGTCACAAATGATTGAGATATGCCTTGAGATAATATTTCTCAAGGATTGTTATTTTGTCGTATTTTATTAAAAAAAAAAAGTAACCCACCAAGCTGCATTACCACCAATCATCTTCGGGCTAAACTTGCCTCATGAGTTTAAACTCCAAGGAATTTAAAGCTGTATGTAATGCGTAATCAGGGTACTCAACAGCAACTTTAGTCTGGTGTGATTACCCTGGGGTCAGTTCCATCACTATTTTCCTCTTTTAGTAAAATGTGTGCACAAATATATAGAATATTTGACCACAAAATATTTTAGCATATAGTCCAATCTCAAGTATAAAAAAAATAAAACAAAATGTATCCATTTTTCTTTATCTGCATTTATCCACAGGGTGGAAAGCATTAGTAATTTTTCTTAACTTTTGTGAAATCAGCACTTAACCCTGAGTGCCAGAGAACTGTAAACAATGGATCAACGAACATTATATGGCACACAAAATTTAAGTACACATGCTCTAAGCCCATCACATGCCAAGACACATTGACTGATGATAGCTACAGAACTATGTTCAACATTTCTAATACTAAGAAATTCATGGAAAGCAAGTATTCAAACAAGCATGAACTTTGTACGGGGTAAACAGTGAAAAGCATGTTTAACGTCAGAATCCCTTAATCTGAAGCTGAGTAGTTTTATGATGAGATGTCTATATAGATTTAAACAATTTAAACTGAACTTCATATCTCAATGGATGTATTACCAAACCGCCTTAAAAAGAAACTGAAAGAAAATCGTAAATAAGGATGAATGTATAGGAATTAAATATATATTATAAAATGAACATGAATAAATTGGTTATTAGTTGTAAAACATTTTCACCACTATAATACCAAGAATGTCTTTTTTTTTTTTTTTTTTTTTTTTTAAGATAAGGTCTCTACCATAAAGTAAGCTATATAAAAAGCTTAAATTGCAATATTGGGCTTGTGGCCAGGAAATTAAATAGACATATTTTTAATTCTTTAAAACCTCACATGTTGTGCCAAAACTTATACCAAATGCATGCTGTTGTAAACTCACAAAGATATTTTTTCCATGTGACTCCATTGGTATTATTTTCTATTGCGGTGAAAATGTCTATTTATTCCATCAAAGTCATTATTTTTTTAAAAACCTACTGTATAAGAGATTAATTATCAGAATGAAATACTCGCTGCTTATTTATTTTGATTCCATGTGGTGATGCCCTGCAATACATAGCATTTAATCACATTACCGTAAGATGCAGTGATCATCTTAAGGTTCCACCTGGCACTTGCGTTGCCAGTTACCGCATAAATAATAAGCTGCTAGATACATTGTGTTATGAAAAGCAACACAACAGGTGGCAACGATGTACTGTAGACTTCTGGTTCTACCGTAAAAAGAAACATGTTATGTCATGTGAAAAAAACAGGGCACACAATAACTGTACATAATAAAAACAACTATTTATTTTTAATTATTTTTCAGGACCAGAAGGGAAGTGTAATTACACTGCAGATAAATGCTTAGTTCTCCATAGTACACAAGGAGTTTAGAAGAAATGCTACAGTGTTAAAGCGCATAATCATATCTTGATATTGATTTGACATTGTGTTAATACAATTTTGGTATTATCAGTTTTTACTGTATTCTCAATGAACCAGACACTAATATTGGAAACAGGGCCTGTAACAATAGCAAATACTATCAAATCAAGAATATTGTATTTATTATAGTATGATAACTATACTTCTTTGGACATGTAAAATTCATGGTTTGTTTCTCCTTTGCTCCAATAGAAAAAATATATATATAAATATATAAATATATATAATGTAAACAGATGTCTACTGCTGGTGGTAAAATGTTTTCGGTACAGGATTACATTTTTAAGTGCAATATATACATCTTTTTAAACCGGTAACATTCTATCAACAAGAGCAGAAAAAAGCCATGTTTATCTATGTATTGTATATATTAATAGCAGAAACAATAAAATGATGTTTATAAGACTTGTATTTCTTGTCCATCCAATGATGCTACCATCCTTTCATATTTGCGTGTGAGTGAAGGGCTTTACAATTCCATGGGAAATTTCATAGAATTTTTCATAGCAGATTTATTCCATAATTAAAGGGTTAGAATTTTTGAAAGTGAATAAAACACAAAGATGGCAACCATCATGTCAACTGTGCAGTATATTATATTGACATTACTCAAAGATGAGTTGCAAGGAGGATGAAACATGGAAATTAAAATACATACAACTATTAAATATTATTAAATGGGAGAAACCTGTGGAAATAAGACCACCTCAAGCAACCCTACAAACAACTCTATTACAATTACATATAAAAATACAATTATCCAGTTAAATATAGCAACCTCTTTAACTTTCAAAAGTTGCAGCCCAGCCCCATCAAGAAAATAATCTGATAGCCAACCAGTGGTGTACCTAGGTTATAGCAGGCATGGCACATGTCCTAGTGGCCACTTGAATGGGGCCCCCCCTTGAGCCAGCATTTAGATCAAAACATCTCCCTGTGCAGCCCTTTAAAAACGACTCCCTGGTGGTCCAGTGGGCGCCTAGAGCAGTTGCACTCCATTGCAGTTCCGGCGCTCTGTGAGGGAGTTAGAGCACAGGTGCTAGGTTTCCCAGCGTGCACTCTGACATCATCACAGAGCGCCAGACCGGGAGACCCGAAATTGCGCTAGGAGCCTGTAGGACCAACAGGAAACCCACTGGACTACAAGGGAATGTATCTTATTATATTATTATTATTATATTTTAAAAAGGCAATTACAGATTGGGAGACTGTGCCTCCACATATAATGTCCCTTCCACCTCACACACTAAGTCCAGATATGATGTACCCCCTCAGCCACCCTGCCACAGTCACTGACCCCCAGCTCAATCACACTCACCGCCAACCTTGCCACACTTACCACCCCTCATCCTGTCACAATCACTTACCATCACACTCAACCCCCAGTCCTACCACACTTACCCCTGACCTTGTCACACCCACCCATCCCCAACCATGTCACACTCATCCCCCTAACCATGTCACACTCACCCCCACCCCTGTCACACACACCTTCTCAACTGTCACACTCACCCCCCAAAAGCTGTCACTCCCACACATGAACAGAGCCTGACCATAAACACAACATACAAAAACCACAAGCAGCTACCCTTACAAACACAGCACAAGCAACTAAACTACACACATACCTTCCAAGACACAGGCAAACACATGCACACTGAAACATAGACACACAGTCACACACAAGTATGCTCAGACACATACACAGCTACACAGTGCTAGGTGACACAGATACACTCGGTCAGAAATGCATGCGTAACCACACCCATGCACATACCACAGGTACAAAATGCTAGACACACAGACACACTCAGTGCTTTCTCCACACACACACACACACAACACCCAGCCACTACACACACTTTAACACAGACACACAACATTCATAGACACTGAGCACAGGGCTCTAGGAGGGACCACAGTCTGGCAACATGCCTATGGCCTGGACAATCCTAATCTGGCTCTGGTGCCACTGAGCAATGGTGGGGTAGGCAATTTTATTTTTTTTAGCCCAGGCACCACATACACATCACATACAGCTAGCACATACACATCACATACAGCCAGCACACCACACGCACATTATATACACCTTGAAGTTTTGAGCTGATTTTATTGTAAAGTTAACTAAAATATTTAAGGAACTTGCAATAGGTGCTATTTTCAGTAGATATGTTTCTGTAACCAACAAGTTTAAGGGAATGAGAAGTGAAGATTATAAGGCCCCCATTATTTTTACTTTTGAGTACAATTATGGTTAGTGACTGAGTTCAAACACCAATATTCATTACAGCTAGGTTAACTAGCTATGGGTCAGGTTAACATGGATTTTAGGGTAGATTTAGAATGAGAATTCAACACTAACATGGTTATTTACTAACGTGAGAATTCAATGTTTCCTTGAATTTGAAATTCACTTTGAATTCTCACAGAAGTGAATAACCCTGTATAATTTATATTTATTGCTACTTACTCACTCTTCTTAACCCAGATTATCAAGTTAATCCAAAATCCTAATCCTATTTGATTTTACTGCAAACAGAAGACAAGTCTGACAAGATGGGCTGGGTCACAAAAATTGCCAAAACTGAGTGTATTGAAAATTGCACAATATACTCAGTGTTATTGTCATAGTTAAGGGTGTTGCGAGGTAGCCTAGAAGATCCCACTCCCATGCTGCTCTCACTGGTGTGAACGCCGCGTTCCTGAATACCTCCAGCTGCCGTTCTCTCCACTGAACTGCAAACAGCTCTGCATTATCTGAAAGATTGCCAGATTTCCATTGCAACCTTACACCACCTACTGGCGTCCTTTGAAATTGCAGGACCCTGTGGGTGTTACACTTCATACTCATCTTTTAGTATGTCATATTTGTTGGATGTCTTGCACAAGTCACACCCCTTAGTTTGTCCTGGTGCAGGGTGATGATGGTGTCCAATAGTCTTCTTTGTAGCCCTACAATAATGGGGGAAAGTATTTGATCCCCTGCTGATTTTGAACATTTGTCCACTGACAAAGAAATGATCAATCTATAATTTTAATGGTAAGTGTATTATAACAGTGAGAGACAGAATAACAAAATATGGAATGGGCTACAAGACCATCGACAAGCAGCTTGGTGAGAAGGTGGCAATAGTTGGTGCGATTATTCACAAATGGAAGAATCACAAAATAACTGTCAGTCTACCTCAGGTCTGGTGCTCCCATGCAAGATCTCACCTTGTAGAGTTTTAATGATCATGAGAATGGCGAGGCAGTCTTTCAGCAGTCTTTGTGTATGTATGTATTGCATTTGTTGAGATTACCAATAAATATATATATATATTTTTATTTCTGTGTGTTGCTGTGTAGGCAGTGCACTGCTTTGCCCAGGTGCCCATAATGCTGTTGAGATGGCACTGCACATAGACACACTACATCCCCAGCATATACACACAGAGACACACAACATCCCTAGCACACACAGACACACTACATCCTCAGCATACACACAGACACACTATAACTCTAGCACACACACATACTACATCCCTAGTGCACACACAGACACACTACATCCCCAGCGCACACACACAGACACACTTCATCCCTAGCACACACACACTACATCTCCAGCACACACAGAGACACACTACATCCCCAGCATACACCCACAGACACACTATATTTCTAGCACACACACACACTACATCCCTAGGGCACACACAGACACACTACATCCCCAGCACACAGACACAGACACACTGCATCCCTAGCACACAGACTACATCTCCAGCACACACACAGACACACTACATCCCCAGCATACACACACACAGACACACTACATCCCTAGTGCACACACAGACACACTAAATCCCTCGGACACACACAGACACACTGTATCCCTAGCACACACACTACATCTCCAGCACACACACAGACACACTACATCCCCAGTACACACACTACATCCCCAGACTAATGGCATACATCTCACATGCCAAATTAACTAATTTTAATGCCACTGCAGAAGCATATATGATTGATCTAAATATGTTACTGGAATGTATTGATGTAATCATGATATATTTTTTATTTTGCTTTTAATTATCATAATACAACATAATGAATGTGGGTGTGTTTTTGGTGGACCCAGGCAGCAAAATGTCTTGGGCTGGCCCTGGTATCTGTGTGTGTCATTGTATCTGTATGTGTGTGAATGTGTGTGTCCTTGTATCTGTTTGCGTATGAGTGTGTATCTGTGTCTGTATCTGTATGTGTGTCACTGTATCTGTGTCTGTATGTCTGTTTATCTGTTTGTGTGTATGTGTCAGTGTGTGTTTCTTTATCTCTGTTTATCTGTTTGTCTGTGTATTTGTGCGTGTGTCTGTTTATCTGCATGTGTGTCAGTGTATCTGCATTTGTATCTGTGTCTGTATCTCTATGTGTGTCAGTGATTGTATCTGTGTGTCTATGTATTTTCATTTGTGTCAGTGTGTGTCTGTATATATCTGTGTATCTGCATGTGTGGTAGTATTTGTATCTGTATATCAATGTGTATATGTGTGTCTGTATATATCTGTGTATCTGCATGTGTGGTAGTATTTGTATCTGTATATCAATGTGTATATGTGTGTATGTATCTGTATGTGTATGTTTGGCAGTGTTTGTATTTGTGTATCTGCATGTGTGGCAGTGTGTTTATCAGTGTCTGTTCAGCTGTATGTATATCAGTGTTGCCATCTGTATATCTGCATACGTGGCAGTGTTTGTACATTTGTATATGTGTAAGTGTGTGTATCAGTATGTCCCTGCAACTATATGAATGTTAGTGTGTGTGTCTGTGTATCTGTGTGTATTTCAGTGTGTGTATCAGTGTGTCTGTGCAACTGTATTTTTGTCAGTGTGTGTATCTGTATGTATGCCAGTATGTGTATCAGTGTGTCTTTGCAACTGTATGTGTGTCAGTGTTTGCGTCTGTGTGTCTGCATGTCTGGCAGTGTTTGTGTCTCTCTGTAAATCTGTGTGTGTGTCAGTCTGTGTATCTGTGTGTCTGTATCTGTATGTGTCAGTGTTTTCTCTGTGTATGTGCATGTGTGTCATTGTGCCTGTGCAACTGTATGCATGTCTCTTCATTTGCAAGTGTATCTCAGTGCTTGTATTTGTGTGTCTATGTATATGCATGTGTGTCAGTGTGTGTATCTGTATTATGTATCTGTATGGGTGTGTCATTGTTTGTATCTGTGTGTCTGTACATCTGTATGTGTGTCAGTGTGTGTACCAGTGTGTCTGTGTAACTGTATGTGTGTTAGTGTTTGTATCTGTGTATCTGAGTTTGTATCTGTGTATCAATGAAAAAAAAAAAAAGAGGACTGCCAGGAGAAAGCGAGAAATAATAACTGCATCGCTGGTGGAGTGGCAAATATCAACCAATTAGGCTTGGTATTTCTAAAAATTAAATTAAATGTACCAGCGATACAGTTATTATTTCTCGCTCTCTCCTGGCAGTTCTCTTTTTTCCCATTTATTCCATAGTGACTAGTCACTAGTGACCCCCCACTTCAGGAGGTTAATAATTACATTACATTACTGTACTCTGTTATTGTATCTGTGTATCTTGCACATGTGTCAGTCTGTGTCTCTGTGTATCCACATGTGTGTATCTGCACTGTGGGAAGCCTGGGGCAGAGGAAGAGCAGGGAGCCTGGAACAGAGAAAAAGGGGAGATCAGGCAGTGAAAAGCATATCAATTTGAAATAACAGCAACTTTAATAATTACAAATATTTTGCCAATATGAGGGGTACAATTTATGAATATGGGCTGCCAAGGGGTACTCAAGTGAAAAAATGTTGGGAACCACTGCCAGGAGCCAAAGAGGACAGGAACATTAAGAAGGCCCAATGGACAGCTTGAGGTAAGTGAAACTCACATGCCCGGGATACCACAACTACTGGACTAGATCTGTTAGTTTGATCTTTGCGAAATATGCCAATGTCCCCAAAAGTGGCAGGTCCACTTTAATAACTTTAGTAAAAAAATGTAAAGTGAAGAATTAAAGAACTCATGTAATGATATTTCTTTCTATCTGTATCTATCTAGCTATCTATCTATCTCTCTCTTTGGCTGAAAAATATCTTTAAAAGAATGGTGAGTTTTTAAATTTGATAATTCTGGCTGAAAAAATTGTAAAGAAACGATCATTGCATATATAATTGTAACCCCCAAATGTTATGTGAATACTTACAATACACATGGAGAAATCGTCCACTTGCTCCAAGCATTGCATAAATGGAACGAATGATGTCCATTTTATTCTGTGTTGCATTGCTGCAGTAGATAAGTATAACAGAAATCTGCATAGTTTGAATAAAGCGTGTGAATATTAAAAATTTAAAGCTTATCCATTATTAATTTACGAAAACAAGAGTTTACAAGACTCCCCCTTTCCTAACTTTGCCTTTTATTGGGATATTGATAAAACATGGATCTACTGCATGGCTTAAGGTCTTAACTGGAAACCACTGCACCAGAGTATTTTTAAGAATACATAAGTCTTTTTGAGAATATAGTAGCTGCCACGAGCTTTCCAGTTCACACTCTGGAGAGGTATTATAACAATGGAGTGCAACACACAATTTTGTTAAACTCAGAAATCAACTTTAGCAGTTAGCACCACTGTCTGTATGTTACAGTCAGGAGTGGAGAGCTCCAGTGTTATGTGCAGTATAGTGAGGGAAATGGAGAGGGCCACTTTTAGAGCAGAACTTTTCCCTGCAGTACTTTATAAGGAATATGGTGTTTCAGGAATGAGAATGATATGATGCTTTAATTATGGCTTTTTCATTTCCACACTAGATCAGCAGAGAAAATAAGGGTAACGGGGGTGCAAAGCTCCACAGAACAGGGGTACTTGGATGAGCATCTATTCCCTCCTTAACCATATTCTGGGACTCCTTATATTCTGGAAGAAATATACATTTTCTTTTGATGAATCTCTGTGCACATTAATCAGTTAATCACAACCTTCCGAGTCACACGGTGAGAAAACATGTTTAAAGAGGAACTGTCACCTATGTGTTGATCCTCTTTCATTGACCTCAGCAAATGTGATTCACAGACATTTCCTTCCATAATACCATACAAATGCTTAGGCTATTCTCCCATGATGACATACACATGCATGCATGTATGTTTGCTTTCAGGGTTGCCTACTCATACGCATCATGACATTCGATTATTTATATTGTATCCTTGGCTTTGCCTCATGAAAGTTCATCCATTAAATTGAAGATGATTAAGGCTCTGGTATTAAAATAATCTTTCTATAGACTAACATGGGGATGATTTTTTTTTAAATTTTATTATTATATTGAATTTAAATTCAAAGCCCAGCCTTAAGGTGGGCCCTGCAGGATGCATCACTGGTATATAGAAGAGTGAGATCAATAAGGAAGTGAATGGTCCTCATTTTTTGATTATCAGTGAAAACAAAAGATTATCTGCCAAGACCATGTGCAATTTTTCCTATGCATTATGTCAGGGTTCGTGAATGCACACTAGCTGTGTTTCTCACCAAAGATGACTCATAATTGGTTGTCCCCACAGAAGAATTGCATTGCTTGTTAAAGGAATTGCTGAGGTTTGCTGAAGTGCAAGTGTTACACTCACCCCTTGGCTGTCAATAAACTGCCTGTCAAAAGGCAACAATTTCTCAGAGCACCTGCCTTGCAAAGACTTAATTGACTGCATTGGAAGTTGTAGCGGAGGAGCAGGGGTTAATCCAATGGCTCTCCGCTGGGAACAAAGATTCAGCATACAAAATCACAGGAACACAGCATAATCCACCTCCCCAAGGACTAGACGACACATAGTCTGGGAGTCAACTGTCAGCTTTATTCACAAGTCTGCTTTTATGCATTTCTCCCATGCAAGGGAGGTAACTTTCATAATTATTACAGTAGCCAATTGTAACCTGGTCACCTCCCCTCCCTCTCCTCCCCTTAGATTAGCCCATAAACAGATTCGTGGGGACAGAGTTTTCCCCACTTTCTAGATGTCCCCTAAATATAGGGGGTACAGGGACAAGGGGTCCCCTGGTAGATCTGATCTGGGTGAGCAACATACTCGAAATTCACCCAGATCAGACCAGGGGTTCGGGAGTTACAAACAGTTAAAGTTTTGACCGACCGCAGGGACTCAGTAGCCGAAAACAGTTCCATGAATTCTGGCCCTGCGGTCGGTCTATTTCAGGGAATTAAAAATACTGAATAACCTAGCCATCCATTTATTGCAAGCCTTCGCATGAATCCCCTCGTTTAGGGGAATCTATCTACCAAACGCCGGGGCATTCGTGTGTTTGATTCGTGGTGTCGGAGCATGCTGGAGGTCTCAGCGGTACTTGGTTAGTCGAATGCCTGGTTTGAGTTCCAGGCGTTCGACAACTAAGTACCGCTGTTCGTGAGTAAGATGGCCGCCGCCACGTGTTCGGTATGCGAAATGGCGGCCACACATACAGGCACTTAATTCCCTCGCAACATTGTATCGTTCAGCTAATTGGAAACACACGACCACCCTGGGGTAGTCTCCAGTTCGGTAGTTTCGGTCATTCACCTAAAAACAGCAATATAACAGGAAAGTCCATTCGGTTAGTTATTCCCTTGGTGAAAGTCCCTCATTCACACAGAATGATCAGTTCCAGTGGCAGGGTTTGCCACAGAAGTGTGCAAAGGCTTCAGATAAGAGATCCCCAACATTTTCAAGTTGTTTTTAGATGTACTCCCAATGAAAAAATGCAAATGCATTCATGCATTCATTAAACTGTAATCTTTTTATTATTTTTTTGCATTTGGGCAGTGGAGTGTTCATTTAAAAGGCATGGGTAAAAAAGTCCACCATTATATTTTTACTATAGATGTTAAAAGCAGTGGTGTATTTAGGATTTGTGCTGGGGCACCCTCCCCCACCCCCCCCAATTTAAATTTTCCCTACCCCTTCCTATCAAGGCCGCACTTTGACTGACAGACGCTCACTCACCGACAGACGCACACTCACGGACATATGCACACACTCATTAATAGATGCATACACTCATTGACAAACACACTATCTCAAATATACTGACAAACAATGACATACACACACTCACTGATTTGACACACTGATAGACAGACACACTCGAACACTCACTGACAGATGCGTGCACTCTCTGACCGACACATACACACTCACTGACCGACACACACACACATTCACCGACAGACACACACACACACACGCACTTAGACTTACACACACACACTTAGACATACACACTTACAGAAACACACACACATATTTCCACCAACACTCACAAATTATTGTTTTTTATTTCATTTTAATTTAAATCCACCCAACCTCCTTGGATTGCTTACCTGCGGTCCAATGGGGCTGCTGGTCGGACAGGCAGGGGGCAGAGAGGCAGGGGGCAGGACAGGCTGAGAAGAAGGCGAGGGAGCTTTAATCTTCCTGCTCAGCTCCCTGCGCGCCGCTTAGTGATGCTGGGAGCCGGACTGACGTCATATTCCAGCTCCCAGCTTCATTAAGCGGCGCGTGAGGGAGCTGAGCACGAAGAGCTCAGGTGAGCATGCTCCCTCGCTGCCCACTCAAAAGTGGCCAGCCGGCTAGCTCTTGAGCCCCCCAGGACACGAGGCAAACAAGGGATCCGCCTGGGCGTTTGGGGCGTTTTTTTTTTTTGCCGTCCCCGGCAGATGCCTTGTTTGCCTCGTGTAAGATACGTCCCTGGTTAAAAAGTATTTCCATTTATAAAATATATGAACTTAATTTTAAACTGTGTAATTATTTGCCTTTTTAACAAGCAATAGCATGGTGCTGTTTATGTATTGAAGTTTAGTACATGTCTTACCATAGATTAATACCTCAATGTTAGCATTCCTATATTCAGGGCACCTAACATTACACAGTGCGACATACTTATCACCATCAAACATAATTACAAAGAAACCACACTCAGCTCACAAAAGGTAAAGAATCTTAAACAATAAATGTCACAATATATTTTATTAATGTTTATTATTTAAAATAATATGGCTATTATAGCTTATGTGTGTATTGTACAGATAAGTAAACATCTCTTTTCAGTGAGTCTCCTGGTTCTATGCGGTCGACCATTTAAATCAGAGCTTTCCAAACTTTTCATGCTGACTCACATTTCAGTCATGCATCATTTTGCAACACAGCGGCAGTCGAGACTTCAGTTGCGGCCGTGTCTCTAGAAGTGCTTCTGAATCAGCGGTTTCCATGTGGTCCTGCATGCTGTGCATACGCATTAGAAATAATGCATGATCCCTTGTACATCTCTCTATTACTCTAGTTCCTCTTCATAATATAGTAATATAACATACCCAACCCAAGCTCACTCTTCTCACCTTATTTACTGTTGCTGACTAGCTGCTGTGGCTGGTTGGCTGGCAGACAGGCTGGCTGCAGCTGGCAGATTGATGTGGCTGGCTGGCA